CCAATTAGCGTTCGAAATTGATGCGTTGTTTTTGTTTGTTCGTGTTTTTGGGACTTCCCTTGAATGTTTCTTTATTGTTTTTTTGTTTGTTAACATATTCTATATTATTTGCACCTTGGAGTGTGATGTTCAAATCAAATCAAATCAAATCAAATCAAATCAAATCAAATCAAATCAAATCAAATCAAATCAAATCATTTATTTGTTAACATAGGTTAATAAAATACAGATATTATAATGTTGTTGACACAGAGCGCTATGTTATGCCAGGAGGCGTACAAATTTAATATGGTGTGATAATCTACGTGATGATAATTATCTATACTTTCAGTCTCCTCTACATAATTGAGTTTACCATAAGCTCCACGCATAATGGCCGGTTTCTTTTTGAGGAGGAAGGTGGTCAAATATCTTATTTTATTTGAAAAGGGATCATCATCAATTTGCTTATCCTGCCCGGAATAGGGCGAGAAAGTCAAACACTTACTGACTAAATACCACCCCGTTCCATATCATTCTCCGAGCCGTGGTCGCGGTAAATTATTTACGGGTCTTTGAAGCGCGTGCGGGAAATTTTGTGCGGGTTGAAGTTGAATTTTGAATTTACTATCGTTACGTTAATATTTAGTCTTATTATTATCTATTCTATTACATTTCTTCTTGTCTTAACTGACACTTACTATAATAATAAAAATAAATAGGAATTCTTTAAACTCATCTGTAGCATATGCAATATCAAAAAACCCACTTATAAAACTAACATAAAAGCAGGTAATATAAACAACAATTTTGACTTTAATAGCCGAGTAATATTATTTTTAATTTATCATCGTGCAGGTCAAATTAATAGACTGAGCTTTTTGATTCAAACAATTTCACTTAATTTAAGAACTATGGATGACGTCAGTGTAAATTAAAATAATATGTTTCATTCAATCAACCATTCATCATTGTGGACAGTTTCTAGTATCAATACATAGTCATAGTTCGTAATACAATTTTTTTTTTTAATTAACCGCCTACTTTTTCCTAGTACACCTAGGTGTTAGTCATTTGTTTTGTTAGCGCATCGTCACTATCGGTTCAGCTGTTCTCGAGATTTGCACTTACCAACGCATTTAGCGATTCATTATTATGTTATAGAAGATAGATTAGAAGTTTGTCCATGGAACAAGTATAATCAATATACTTTTGTGGACAAACAATTTCTTGAATTTCTTTCCTATGATCAAATTTTTTTCCATCCTGAAAAACTATGAATGCCCCAATTATTTTGTGAACTGCCATATTCTTGGCTTTTTGGCTATCAACAACTAAATACACGAATTTCTTCCACAGGTGAACCAAATTTGCAAGGAGGAGGAGGATTCGCGTACGCGGATTCATCAGGTCATAGGTACGGAGGTACTTACGCGTTGAAGGACGGCAGGGTTGTTACTACGTCAGGCGATCCCATACCCCAACACTTCGCTGATTTCGCGTACCCTAACGAAGACGACTTTGGTTCCGCGTATTTCGCGAACCTCGAGAATTTACTCCAAGAGTAAGACCTATGAGATGAAGCTATTTGCTTCCGGTGGAGGGTCCACGGTTAATGGTGATGGGTATATAGACTTTTATAGGAACAAATGATGTCTATTATGTATTATGTGTGCTTATCTAGATTTTTTTAGACATTTAGCGTTTAGTGATTAAGTTTAGATTTAAACGACAGAATGTCTAGTCATTAGTCTTAATAATCAGACAAAATATGGGGTTTCTTTAGTGGAACAGTCAATGCCGTGTAGTATAATATATAAAGTAATTCGGTATGTAAACTTGTATGAAGTATTTTTTTCTATCTAGATCTCTTTCTGGAGAGAATGTCGTTTCATTTTTGCAGTTGTTGAAAATGTATTGTCTTATATAAATTTGTATTAAGGGAAAGACTTTAAGCATTTACAAATCAAGTAAGAATAGATTCAGTATACTTGAAAGATCAAAATTACAGTGTACTGTTATTATTACACTTTCTACAAAAATAAATTAAGTTACAGTTTAACTTTGGCAAGGCACATCACAGTCGCACCCCATCTTTTGTCTGATACAAATTAGTAATTACAATTTTTATTAATGTATTGCATTTTATAGAGGAGGTTTCCTTCGCGGAGCCCGTGTAAAAAGGTAAACAGATACACCTGCATGCGCGTGGAGTGACTATATTATCGTCCTAATTTTCCGAGTGTAGTTCACACTAATCCCGCTTGTTCTTCTCTGGCGCTTCCATCGATTAAACGTACTAACATTTCCAGTGTGATTAATTAACAATTTTGTGATTACAGGGTGTTTCAAAGGAATATAGAGAATCAAAGGCTAGCTTACGACGCTGCGAGAAAAGCCTTCGACTTGACGTCGAACCAGGCTGGTTATTATCCCACCCCAAACCTTGCCTCCAGGTTCGCGTTCACCAACGTCCCGAGTTTGCCAATTCCACCATTCCCAATGCCACGCTTCGGGTCCAACAGTGCCTTCGCCAGCGCAGCCGCCGGCCCCGGGTTCCAACACCAGGTTGCCTCAATATTCCCATCCAACCCTGTAAGTATTTTGATATAGTCATTGTAGGTACATTACACCATGATAGTCCTCTTTTATTTCATCAAACTCCTTGACAACAAACTCAAGAATCAATCAAAAATGCAATCAGCTGCTAACCTTCGCTTACCCTTACTTTGACTACACGTGATGTTGGTTGTATCATCTTGAAATACGACAAACTAAACACATCCTAATGTAATATTTGTAATGCTTTGATCACGATTTCTTACCTTTGAATCCTGGCTGTTTTTTATTAAGATTTTTTTCTCTATAACTCTTCTTCTGTTCGTGAGGAAACTTGACAGAGATTTATACTATTGTTTAGATTATTAATAATGATCTTAAGAATGATGTTATTGTTGTTAATAAAGTATTTTTATCCTCTGAAATGATAGACTACTTCGGATTTGAATAACGAATAAAGGTAGTAAAAGGTTTTTACTAAGGCTTTTCTTTAATTTTTCTTGAGGACTGGCTTTCGAATGAAATAGTTAAACAATAACTTTATGCAATAAGTGCTCCAACTGGACTCTTTTAAAGGAAGAAGAAGGATAAAAAACATTGAGGAGACATATATGGAAGAAAATGGATTTGTGACATTAGCTCATAAGAAAGAGACACATAGCACTGATCATAAACGACCAGAAGATGTTCATCTTCTTTTATCAAGTCACTCGCGTGTTTTCAATAAGCTGTTGTTTCAAAATTCCTAGAAATATCCATTATTTCAACATTTAATATTATTAGTCTACAATGACTACCTATTGGGTTTTTTAACCGACTTCATTTATATATCGATTAACTATTTACTGCCGACGCCTTATCGGTCGTGACTAAACTGTTCATATGAAAATGGATTTTAAATGAACCTTAGAAATCTTAAAGAGCCTTTAACAAATACATGGTGTACCTAGGAAATTTAATATGTATTATGTTATTTTTACATAAACGAGACTCAGTATAATGTGTTTATCAAACATGGAATCACAAACAATACTGCCGTGATTATGATGACTGTAGATGATGATGGCAGTGTACCTATAGCCATAGGGTAAACCAAATCAGCCTTTTATTTACAAACAAAAGACTGAACGACTAGCCACTGGCTGTAAGTTGTAGGGTTAAAAAAATTACAGCTTGTTGTTGACAGAATAGTAGGTCAGGGTAGGTTAAGGAACTGCAAACCGCACAAAAGTCAAGAAAGACAACTGTATACAACAATATCTTCAATTAAACCCCCTTTTTAGAAAGAGAAATTTATCAATCGTCCAGAGTATGGCGAGGAGGGGTGCCAGATCCTTACTGACTTAAAAACACCCGTTTCTTTTCCTGCTCCAGGCTAAAGCTACCTTATTGCGCTTAACCCGCAAATTAATTAAACCGCATAACCCGTTTATAGAATGACTTATCAACTAGTATGCTGCGTAATATTTGTAAATTAAACAAATGTTGGATTTTTACAGCAACATAACCAAACCTAAATTAACCTCTTCGAAACTTATTAACAAGCAACCTTCTTTGCAGGCCGTCCCTAATGTGAACCACTTCGCCGACACTGCTCCGACAGGCAGGAATGGATTCTACTCTGTCTCCAGCAATTCATACTCTTCATCATCCAACGTTAATGGAAAGGAGATGAACTCAAGAGGAGCAGAAACCATTGTCAATGACAATGGAAAAGTGACACACTTCAAAGTAGCAAACTAAACAAATCGAAACCGATCTTCCAAATAGCCTCTAATTCTGAAAAACAGATCTCATGATACCCTAAATTAAGGATATTGAAAAAACTACTGTTATTATGAACCTTATATTTGATAGCGTAGAGGCGAAAAAATTCTGTTAATAATATTAGTTGGTCTGTTAAGAAAATTATTTATAATTGAGATGTATCAATAAAATGATTATACGGTTATTGTTGCCTCATTTAAATAAAGAAAAAAAGGAAAGAAAAAACAATGTAAAAATATTTGCAAAGTAATCAAAGTAGACTGTTTTTATATCTGTTTATGAATCAATCAAGATGATGAGATTTTTTAGGTTCCAAAACATATTAGTCAGCGCTATTTCAATAAGATTAAAAATTTTATCCTTTACTTCAACTTCAATTATGTTTGGCATAATTATTTCATTAAGGAAGTTGAAAAAGTGCTAATCTGTGCTAAAACAAACTGTAATTAGAATCTAGTGCAAAATATTCGTAATTTAACTTTGATGAAATCAAAGCTAGTCTAGTTTTTTGTACTAACAATACAAGTTCGTCCACCTCGCAGACAGAGTAAGAAGTCAGTAATTAGCAACGTAATGAAAATACTTTTTATAACACTTTATTATGAAGACAACACACCTATTGATGACGGAAAGATATGGATAATAACATCGGACGCAAACATTAAGCTTGAATTAGCGAATACTTGGAAACGTGCGCACAATTACGAACATCTTATACCTTTCAACCTCTGAGCAACGTCTCAAGGTCAGTGAGATAACATCACCATTTTTTCTACTCACGGATACGATACGGGATGAACAAAAACAATGACCACAAAACAGATTAGTTTAATTTCGCCAATTTGCCGTCCAATTTCATTTTAGGTGTTGTTGTCTCGTAAATCCACTTGTTTCTTTGTTGTGGGTTTGGAGGACAGCCTGTATAGCCTTGGCCGCTTAATTCTCTGCATCTTTTGCAGTAAAATTCTTTCATTCCATCATCTGATATTCTTCTGTGGAATTTGCCAGGCGTTTGATAAGCTGGCTTACTAATTCTCCAACCTGCGTTGTATTCCGTGTTGATTGGCACTTGCTGGGTCATAAGATTGATGTTATTGAAAAGACTAGAGGGTTTCCATTGTGATGGGTTCGTTACAAAGTTAGGGTATATGTCATATTCGTCTCGTACATTCCTGTTTATGAATGCCGAGTCTGGATAGAATGAACCTCTGGTTCTTGTATCTGGAGTTCTTATTTGCGTAGTCTCAACTGACTTGTAACCATTTAAAACAGGAACTTCGCCGCTATCTTCTTTATCTTCTTTCTTGCCGACGTTGTAGGTTAGGGTTCCAGAATTATCTGCAAGAAGTATTTTAAAATGTCAGTATTTAATTTTATAGAAATGCAATGAAATTGTCTGGTCTATCACAATTTAGTGTTTTAAACTTGAGCCTTCAAGCTTCTACTGACTCTCAAGTTACTGTAATATTATTTGGACTGATTCTTCAGAATCAGAAATTAGATATATTTTATTTGTCGTACAGAGGTCATATTTAGGGTTAGAGTGCGCTATGATGCTATATGATGATATGATTAAGATCATGATCACACCCGTACATAATAAACAAAAGATCAATAGAAGTATCAAATATTTAACCTCTAAATAACATATTGACTAGTAAACTATTATTATAAAGTTCCGACCTTGTGCAGTAACCGATAAGAGCACTAAATCTATTTGTTTATCGCTCTAAAGTACCAAAACGTAATAAATTTTAATCCAAGATTCTCTTAAAGATTTTCTGTTAGCATGTGTGGCTTTATTGTCTTCGTTATCTTTTGGAACATCTACAAGTTGGCGGTAATCAGCCAGCTGGAAAATTGAGCTTGCGTCCATTGCCCCATTTGAATGCACTAGGTTTTTTGAAAACCTCTTCAATGTTTTGTATGGAATTTGCCTTTTTTTCAACTGTGTAATCAAAAATGTATTCAATTCATATTAGGATATGATGCTAATTGTAGCTTTGGTAGTTTCTTACATGTATTTTTTCTTTAATATTAACTTTATACGTTCTTACGTAAGTACTTACCATCATTTGAGCTATGTAGTCCCCTTCTGTTGTTATTGTTCTTAAGTTTAGTTGAAAGCACAATGGTGTGTTGGACTTCGACATCTTCATCTTCTATTTTTGTAGAGTTTGTAAGAGACACTACTTCATCTCCTCCAAAATCCATCTTCGTTGAAACAGCATCGCTCCAACCAGTAAACGCTGAAGTAAGTTAATTCGTAATAATGTTAATATAACGTGAAGCATGAAGTATTATTAATTAAAATATGTGCCTAAAATGGTTTTTAGTCTTCCAATAATAAGCCGGTTCTCGTCAGATGTGGAATAAATAATATTATAACACATGGGTATGAAACAAACGAAATCCTCTCCAAATTGCTTGTTGGAACCATGCTACCTAATTTAGTTATAACATTTTCGTTATATAACACCCTTATCTGGAAACTGTAAATTTTAAATCCTCGTTGTGATATTTTAAAATAATTGGTTTTACGGGCAATTGAATTGAAATACTTGGAATTCCGTCACGCATTTTATTTATATTATTTTTCATATTACATATTTGCTGCTGCTACCTTGGAATTAAACTTATGATTTCTTGTTACGTGGATCGCTTGCAACCACTTAAAATACTCCACAAACGAAGCAGTCTAAATACCATATTTAAATAGTTATTTTACCTGTCTGTGATTTTGAAAGCTTCGTGCATATTGCACAATGGAAATGCAAACCTAACAACTTAATCTTTATATGAACCTAATAATCCCCAGAGGGTACCGGAATCCTCTTTGACATCATACCCTCGTCGCCTTTTCCATCGTTTAAACCCTAAGCGTAATAGAAAATACAGCCCGAGCGAACGGCGCTTTGCGTTCCGCACGCGCCTTAAAGACCAAATAGACCACCACAAACGGGGCCCAATAGGACTGATGTTCAGCTGGGGTTGCGGAGCAAGCCGAATAGGGCACCTCGGCTTCAGCCTAGAGCAGGAGAAGGAACGGGGGGTTGTTAGTCAGTAAGAGTCTGACACTCCCTATCGTCTCACCCTGGTCAGGAGAAGTGATTTGATAATAATTGTCCCCGCACAAAAAAAAACACTAAGCGATCACTGGTGTTCTCTCTCATCCACCGCATTTTGCGCCATAATTCTGATGCCTAGAGTTTAAATACTTATCTGCTAGTGTTTCTGGTAAGGTTGATCTTGATTTATCATTAGGAAAATCATAGCAAAGTCATTGTGTATATTCGTTTATTCATTTCAATGTCAGTGAGCTTTGTAATCATTTTACTGTTCAAGGGCACGTTCATTTCCAATTTCGATATTCTTTATCCTCGTAAATACATTTCATTCAAGTTCATTCTTAGTTAGTTCCATTTCTGTGGTGTCATGTTGAGATATCCCCTTTTCGCTCACTGGGTTCTAATGGAAATTGTTCTTAGATTTCTATTTGTTTGTTATATCTACAAGTGAATTTGTTTATAGATAGACCTTGAAATAGAGATTGAAACGCTATTGAAGAGACATACCTACCTATACAAAAAAAAACATTTGAGGCCAGTAGATAATTTTATTTTTTTCAACTTGATTAAATTTTTAGTCAATAAATACTTAAATAAATTTTCTTTAACAATTCTATTATACCCAATTTCATTAAATCTAAGTCAAGTGTGTTACAATTTTAATTAAATTTAAGTAACTAACTTTTAATACTTTTAGACAAATAGGTACTTATTGGTGTGAGATTGAAACTTGCTTACTGCTCCAGTTACGTTTTGTCAATGACGATATAACCACTTGTATTCTCTTTGCGTTTTGCTAAAGTTTTTAATATTTTTGTTAGCAAGATTAGGTAACATCATAATATCACTTATACTCGAAGTCCATGAACATCAGATATCTATTTGACGCAACTTTGATAATACAAAGTCTGACTGAGAAATGAGATGAACATTGACCGCGCTTAAGGAAAATCTTTATATCGTACATAGCTAAAAAAATCTTATTATGATGACGGAAGTCTGATGACGGACTCACTTGCCTAAAGCAAGAGTGCTAAATGAGAAGAAAAATGGTTCTGAGTTATATTCGTAAGTCGTAAAGTTTACAAGGGAGAGGAAGGGAGTGACAGACTCTTACTGACTAAGAACCCCAAGCTCTATATCCTGCGCTTACCTCGCAACCCCGACAGAAGTCTGACCGATGAGGAGAGGATTTTTCACTTCTGTCCTAATAGGTAATATAAATAATTGTCATGTAATAATAAATTGTTTTATAAAAAATACTAATGCATTTTAGTATTAGTATAAATAAATATTATGACATACCTAATGTAAATGCTAGTGATGATCTGTACTTTTTTCTGGTGCCATTAAAATTATTTTAATTTAATTAAAATTAATTTAATTACGTTTTGTAAAATTGGCTGAGTTATTGTATTAATTTTCAAATTTCGATTATTCCATCATTGTTTTGTTTACCTAACTTTCCGCGGACCACAGGTTATACAAAAATAAATGAATTTATAAAAATAAAAAAACAAAAACAAGACTCCATGTGCAGTTTGAAACCAAGTACCTAGGTGCTAACCTCACCATCCTTTTGAACTTGGTGTGCGTTCTGGCCTTTTGGATAGATCGGATAGACTTGCAAAACCATTATTATCTTACTACATTACCTATACCAACATTAAAATAGATTTGAGGGGTAAATAAACACAGAAAAAAAGTCAATACGAAATAAAAAAAGTCCATAAGTAGATGTAGGTAAAAGGTATAAGTATCCACTAACTCCTTTTCTGTATCTATTGAATTGGAATAGCCGTACCAAATAAAAATAAACATAATTAAATGTCTTACCGCAAACACTCAAATAGAAATACAGGAGACCCGTCATTGTATCACAGTGCACAAACAATATGTCATCCTTCGCGTGTTACCAACGTTTTATATAAACTATACAAAATTGCTCTAAATGATGTCGCGGAGGAAGTTGGACAATTACCTCTTGTGTCGAAGTTATAAGAAACCTTAGACACCTCCAGTAATGATGGTAGGTACCCAAGTATATTGTTGTCTTGTCATTGTTTTCAACTCATGCGCAGATTAGCAATTAAACAGTTGTGGGCAAAAACTTTGACCCCTATCATGTCCTATTTTAGTGCCAAAACCATTCAATGCTAGGGGCTCAACACAATTCCAAGAAGTACATAGAATTAGCGGGGCAAGCGTAATAAGGCACCGCGACCTTGGCCTAAAGCAGGCAAGGGAGGATCCACCGTTGTGGGCACGATGGGCATGCCCACAACCTTAATACACTTGTGATTGAAATATGTTTGGATCAAAACTAACTATTAGAAATTAAAAGAAGTCATGTCCGACTTCTTCCTAAGTTTATTTACATTCCTCTGATGCTCGGAAAAAAGGAAATCTAATTCATAACATAAACCACAACCTTTTTTGAAGGCTGGATCCGCGGTTGAAAGCAGGAGAGGAAACGGAGGGTTTTTAGTAAGAGTCTGACACTTTCTTTAGCCTCACCCTGGGCGGGGGAAGTTATTTGATGATTTTCCCCTGACAAAAAAAGGAGTACATAGAATGGAGAATTTTACAACGCACCTTTTTGCTCTACTATTCCAGGATCCTGGGTGATACCAGTCAGTATTTAATTTAATTTTTTTTTTCGTTTAATAAACGAAAAAAAAAAAATTAGGTCAGGCATTTTTTGTTTTATTATATGAACATAGGTATTACCAGGTATTACGTAGGTATGTAGTACCAACCTATATTTTAGGGATGTCTAACTTTCTGAGTAGGTATTGATTATTTTATTACGAATGCCCTAGATGTTCGTTCGTATGGCAATCAGAATGGGACTGATATCACATGAGTTAACATAGGTACGCATCCAAGCATGGATTTTATTAATTTGTCAGACTGAATACTTGAAATAAACAATCTTAATAAGTAGTATTTATGACAGTTGTAATTGGTGACATTGTTAGACTTATAGTTCTGGGATTCTATTCTTAGTTTTATTTAGCCTGGACATTAGATTATTTTTGTGGTAGGACGTTAAACGAGCAGCCAGATTACCTGATGGTAAGCAATCAGCACCACCTATGGACACCCGTAACAACAGAGGAGTTACGAGTAGGTACGTTGCCGAACTTTTGGGGATTAGGGTTTTAGAGATTTAGGAATTGGAGAAGGTGAAGGATAGGGATAACAAATATGGAATACTTAAAGGTTTGAAACAATCATTGCAATTTTTGAAATTTTTAAACTTACAGTGCAAGTTAAAAAAAACTTACAAAAGCGATTTCCACAAAACAATATTCTATGTAACGAATAAAAGCAAAAAAAAAGTCAACGTCACGTGGTGTTCCCAGGCGGTCACCCATTCAAGTACTGACCACGCCCGATGTTGCTTAACTTCGGTGATCGGACGAGAACCGGTGTTTTCAACATGGAATGAACGTTGACGACTTCATGAAGAAAAGTTCATGTTTCGTCTATTTCTATCAAATATTGCATGTAGGTATACTAAGTATACTTACTGCGACTATATTAAATTTGCTGCAATGTTTGTAATTTAACAAACACAAACAAAATTATGTGGTTAGAAATATATTATTTGAGTAATTTTCTACCACGGAGTAAGACTTTGTTCTTACTCCGTGTTTTCTACATCATTATTTGAGTTTTGGTTTAGCGCCATCTATTATACCTTATCAAAACTCTCTTAAACCTTGGAAGAGTATAGGAAGAGAGAAACACAACTCACACGGGTGTTTATATAAAAATGTAGATGGCGCTAAGAGCACAAACTAGTTTTGTGTAAGAAATACTAATAATTGTTTTAGATAATAAACAATTATATATAGCCGGTAGACTAAACCAATAGTCACTGCCACGAAACTTTAATTACAAACTAACCTAAAAATAATGTATATGTATAGATAATTCAGTAATTTAAATTAAAGAAAATTAAGTGCCCTACATTACTGACAAAGTCAAAAATAAAAAATACAAGGAAAAAAGAAAAAAACATATTGTGTAACATTAACTAAATAAATAAAAAATGAAATATTTACCAGAAAAATACGTCAAAAAGATTTCGCCCAACGTGGGGCTCGAACCCACGACCCTGAGATTAAGAGTCTCATGCTCTACCGACTGAGCTAGCCGGGCTGGTGCTGGTACTGTCGAAATTAATGTTTCATTTCTATATTTTATTATTTCGATGCTGCTTTTTTTACCACATCAAAATGTAAACATAATAATAATTTACACTATCCTTAGTGCAAAAATACACAATGCATAAATACCCTGATAATCCTGATATACATACTCACTTCAAGTAGACTTATTTTTTTTACATTTAATAGACTGGCAAACGAGCAGAAGAATTATCTGATGGTAAGCAATCAGCGCCGCCCATGGACACAGCAGAGGAGTTACGAGTTCGTTGCCGACCTTTTGGGAATTAGGGATTTGGAGTTTTAGGGATTGGGGGAGGGGAAGAATTGGGCCTCCGGTAACGTCACTCACACGGCGAAACACAACACTGTGGTTGTTTCACGCCGGATTTCTGTGAGGCCGTGGTATCACTCCGGTGCCAGAGCCCTTCGGCCCACACTTAAAATTATTTTATGCACTTCATTACATTAAGCAAACAACCCGAGTTGTTTGCTTCGTGATTCATTACTTAGGTTTACCACATTTTTTATTTGTGACCCCCAAATGATAGTTTTTTTTTCTTTTTATTTGCTTGATGTGCTATTTATCCATCAATACCAACCTTCTTCCTCATAAATATCCCTAACAGCGGTAAACAGTGAAGCAAGTCTCAGAAGTCATGATATCTTGGCAAGTTGTACAAAGAGACTCAGAGAAGTAACCCTCAACCAGATAGGAACATGTTTACTTGTGGATATTGCATGCTCAAAGCTCAAAGCTACCTCCTAGGGGGATTACACACCGTATCTGAGATATATGTAACTTGAAACGGACTTTATTTCACCAGTTTAAAGACTTTGATGGAACGCTGCTATCACTCACAGTAGGAAGATCGTTGATATGATATGATGTTTTTTTATTTTTGGCTCAGCTAACTTATTATAAATATTTAATATTGTTTCGTGAACGTAACTGTTTAATATATTAAACTATTCATTCATTATTTTTATAATCTAAAACTTAAATTTAATATGATTTTCATCACCAATTTATTGGTAGCGCCTACCAGTAAAGTAATAGCAATAATTTGTTTAACAAACAAATAAATGAGGAGATATAGTGAATAGGCGCTGTTGCTTTTTTATAATTACGGTTAGTCACTTATGTATGTATATGTTAAGTAGGTATATACACTAACTACATTATTGATTTTAAAACATGGCAAACAAATATTTGTTTTGAAGGCACATAAATAACTTACCTATGTATAGGTAGGTTTACATGCAGGTAAAGGTATTAGATAATTCAAAGTTGATGTCTACTCCTTGGTCTAATTTAGATGTAAAACAAAACCATGAATTTATTTATGACTTATATATTAATATTAAATTAATGTCGGTGCGGTGTCCCGGAGGTTAAGAAGCCCGCGTACCATGCATGAGGTTGTGGATTCGAAACCTGGCAAGTACCTATCGATGTGATTTTTTCCGAGTTTATATGTACTTTCTATGATTATTTAGATACCTCTGACATACGGTTAAACTAAAGATCATGAGGAAACCTGGACTTATAATTTCTAATTATAAGTTTAAAAGCGTGGTGACTAAATGTTCTAACCTTCTCCGTATGAGAAGAGGCCTTTCTTTAGCAGTGAGCACTTATAGGCTGATGACGATGATTAATATTGTGAGGCAACTTTTTTACACGACCTTATGGATCAGTTTCCGAAAACACATGATACTTTCAACGCACTCATGCATACCTATGTATGTATAAGGATTTGTCAGGTATATCAAGGAAAGTGAAACCACAAGAAAAGTTGTGTTTTTCTTATGGTAAACAGAGGGGCGCGGGTGACGCTTTCAAATTACCAAGATGCTGTGCTAGTTTCGTACAGTAAAAGTACAGTCGGGTGCAAAACAATAGTTAGATACAGGTAGGAAAAATCTGACAAAAGTCTTGTCTTGTCTTGAATTTCAAAGTTTAACATTTTTTTTAATCGTCAGTAACATTTACTGCTATTATCTTGATGTCGAAAATAAACAACCGTTTTAGGAGAATACAGGATAACAGGAAACTGCACTGACAGTAGGTAAGTATGATGATTTCTATGACATACATTGATTTGTCTATTTCTCTTCTCATAATTATATTTTTCTAAAGTTGTGAAGTGACCAACAGACACATAGATTAGTATGTAGTACCTGGCTGACTAGCCTATTCGTTAAGTTTAATATTAATAATAAATGAAAGAAAGAAAGAAAGAAAAAGTATTTATTCGCGTCTGGGACGCATAAAAGACACAAAACGAACAAGATAATAAAATAAAGTTTAAATAAAAATACATTGAGCAAGGTAAAAACAATATCACAAAAGAAGACGGTAGGAGAAAAATATGCGTCCAAGCACGCGAAATGGCCCACGCTCAGCATAATGCAGCGACCCCGTACGAGACGGGTTCGCGGCGCTGATTTTCAGCGATGGCCGTCACTAACGCATGACGCCAATCTGCGCAGAAACTTAAGATAAGAAAATAAGTATTTAACTTATTTTCCACTGAAATATGTTTTTTATAATTGTTGGAATAATAAACTACTACAAAAAAACAAACCGCTTATGATTAACACGTTAAACGCCACGGGGGTCACCGGTGACCTCCGTTAGCGGAGGATTTGCCTTCAACAGTTTTCTGTTGGCAGTCAAAGGCTTAAAAAATAGAGTAAAAAAAA